GGGGAATAGCATGTTTGTACAGGCGCGCCCTTCGCCGATACCTGCTGCACATTGCGACTTTCTATTGCGTATGCATCCATCGGAAGACCAGAGAAGGATGCATACAGAGCACTTACGTCGGGCATCCCAGAAGACTATTCTTCTGTCTTTCTGACTCGAAGTACAGAATAGGTCGGGATGTGTAGGATTCCACGAGATGTAGTCGACATCATCGGAATGTCCGCCGGAGAATGTCGTGGCGGAGCGTAGCTCCATCTGAAACACAAAACTTTGAGGCCAGCATAAGATAGATGTTTCCGCATATCACATACACTCTTCTCCGGCCACCATATTCTAGTAATCTTGTCAATGCCTACAGCTGCTAACCGCTGTCCGTCACAGCTCCAGGCAATGTGGTTCATCACCTGTGGAGATACTATGCGTATATCCCGTGGTCTGAAGGCAGAGAAGTTGGGGGCCTAGGACACATATCATTCTTGTTGATACGCTTCAGGCGACAATAGTGGAATGCGTTCGTACATGGACTCCTCGCGCGGCAAATGTTGTATGTGGAGGCGGAGAAGGAGGCCGCTGCGGCGGGGGGATGTCATCGTTGTCGTCTTTGCCGTTGTTTAATAGGTTTGACATGAGGCCAGATTATATGGCTTGAAGCGTGAAGGCGTCACGACGTCGCGATAGCTTGACTATACTCTGCTTGACTCCGGCTTTGACTCTTCACTATGATCTACTACTTACTTGAATGAATAATATTGAGAGAATATTGATGGCGGTGCTCTTTCGATCGTTCATTCGGCTCAGCGGTGTTACGCAAGTCGGCCGAAGGGACCCCGAGGCCCCCGCCCTGGGTCACGAGGCCTGACGGAATTGTTCCTGGGTCCGTGAAACGGCTGCCCAAGCTGAGCCAGGCTGAGCCTCTTCGGAGTCTCTAGCTCTTCGACATCATTCTATACCACACGACTCTATACGACCGTGCTCTGAATACTCACCTTGCTATTCTTGCTTGCTTCATTTCACACCACATTGTAATCCAAGTCAGAATGAGGGTCCTCCGGGTATCCCTGGTGCGGCAGCTTTCGTCACCTTACTTCCACCGACGGACCACAATACGCCTGTCGACTTCAAGAACCGTTCGTTATCGATCTCTAATATCCACCTCAAGGAAATATAACTCTACACTGTCTGCGGAGAATAGGGGCACTCGAGAGCGGGATGCAGAAGGGGCAATACTACATGGGAAACAATACATTAATAGTAACGTTGCTAGTGGAAGCCAAGGTACGCCAATAACACCTGGGGGATAGAGATCCATCCAACAATAGACCATAGACCAGACAAACTCCCCATTGGAACACTATCAACGATTAGTGGAGTCCGGTGCAATCAAGCCAGACGAACACCAAACCCGGATCGTCAAGAAGTTGCAGAGATTACATGACGAGCTCGTGACATACGAGCCTCCGCCCATTCCCTCGTCTAAATCGTCACCGTCCTTGGTGTGTTGACCGACACTTTCCTACAAATGCTATCAGACTAAACGTGCAGTCCAATAGCTTTCTCGTCTATTTTCCCGCGGAACCACGCACACAGTTTCCCTGCCCCCCGAGAGAGTTCCTGCCGGATTATACTTATATGGGGACGTAGGGACGGGAAAGACTATGCTCATGGATTTGTTTTACAATACACTCCCCCCGCATATCAAGAGGAAGCGAAGAGTACACTTCCACGCTTTCATGATTGACGTGCATAAGCGGGTACATGCTGCCAAAATCAAGCTAGGGCACAATGGCGGAGATCCCATTGAGCCTGTCGCCCGAGACCTTGCATCCGAAGCGTATGTGCTCTGCTTTGATGAGTTCCAGGTGCGCCGAGCTGTGTCTGGAGATAGCCGCAATATATGGGATCGGTACTCATGGATCCTTAGGTCACTGACATTGCTGATGCTATGATCCTCCGACAGCTTTTCGAGAAATTACTCAATTACGGTGTCGTTTGTGTTATCACCTCAAAGTGCGTATCTGTCGTACTCTAGGATATAATCACATACGCTCAACTACTCACTCTAGTCGCCACCCTGACGAATTGTACAAGAATGGTATACAACGAGCGAGTTTCATCCCATGCATAGAACTTCTCAAGGAACGTTTTGAAGTAACTGACCTTGATTCTGGCACTGGTCTGTGGATCCTCTCGCTCGCGATTGGTTCTCAACTGAAACAACAGTGAACCACATAGACTATCGACGCATGCCACGGACGCTGTCCCATGTCTATTATGACCCTCTTTCGCCTGAGAATCAACAGGAGATTGAGAAGATATTCAAGGCCTATACATCGGACCCTTCAGATCCAGTTCAATACAATCGCAAACTTACCACCTGGGGGAGAACCATCGTAGTGCCAGAAAGCACTAGCCAAGTAGCCAAATTCAAGTTTCATGACCTATGTGGAAAGCCTCTTAGCGCGGCAGACTATATAGAGATCACCAGAACATTTGGAACAATTTTCGTGCTTGATGTGCCTAAGATGGGCCTTGGTGAGAAAGACCTGGTATGGAAGTCGTCCTTCTTGATATATATATTCTGAACGTGGTCTTCACGGTACAGGCGCGGCGGTTCATTACCTTCATTGATGCATGTTATGAGAGCAAGGTATGGTTACACTCAGACCTGCGTTCGAAGCAGTGCCTGATTGTCTTTACTATAGGTGAAGCTGTTCGTAACATCGGAAGTCCCCATATTCAAGATTTTCTCCGACGATCCCAATGCCAACAAGACCGAAGTTTCTGATCACATGCGCAGTGTCATGGACGATCTCGTACGTTGGCTGTCATGCTATTCGACTTGAACTGATTTTGTGAACGGCGTGTCAGGGTCTTCCAAGTGATATAGTCGGATCAAGTTCCATGTTCTCAGGCCAAGAAGAGCTATTCGCATTTGCCCGCTGTTGTTCGCGTTTAGTGGAAATGGGCAGCAAGCATTGGGCAGAAACAGCAGGAATGCGATAGTGCCGCACATTCTATTCTATTGTACCGTTGCACCATACTCTAATTCTACGAATTCACATATATGGCTTGTTCCAGGTGTGGCATTTCTCAGGTCGCTGGAATTGTCCTCAGAGAGTCATCTTGAGGCAAGCCGGTCTAATGGGAACGGAATGAGTTCTCGTATCTGTCCATCCTCAAGGGATATGGACTCCTGCAGTTTCTCAGATTGCATCGTTTTATGTCCTGCTTTGCGGCGACGAGCCCAATCGCCCACTTCACCTGGGTCAGACTCCTTCGGCTGATCTGCGACATATTACTACATTGACATGGGGTACGATGTTGAATGATGCTGCCCTCATTCTCATCGAGGCAGCACCAAGTACTAGTAGAGGTGATGCCCTTTGCCGTGCGGCATTTGGATAAGTTAGGGATAGTCACGATTAGGTTATTCACTAGAAGGGAATTCTTGGTGGAAGCAATACATAGCACGGTGAAATCATTGGTGCAAAGCCGAGTCTCTCCTGAAACAATATTTGAGTGGGGTTTTTCATCTCTTTCTTAGCTATTCCTAGCGAATAGCCATGTGATTTCTAGTTAGTCTTAAGCTTGTCAAAAGGACAGAGATGACTTCCGCAGGAACGAGCTGTTATCAGCTTTAACACCACTCAAGTAGGTTCAACTTGCAATTGGCAACTTGAACATTCACCATTTAGACCAGAAACTCTCAATTTAACCAACAACACCACTCGCATGAACTACGGGTCGGAGTGCAACTTGTGCAAGTAAGCGATAGCAAACATCAGCGAACTCGTGAGTCCATGAAAACGTCTTGCCACAAAAGGCAATGGCTTGTATGCATTGCCATGCCTTGCAATGACTTTCACTTAGATGC